TATTTACATTCTCATCAACTCTAGTGTTGGCTAAAGAAAACGTGGGCTACCCCAGGTAAGTTCAGAGTCACGTCTATGAGTCCAACTGTTCAGCATACAGAAGTTAGTTCTATGGGTAGGAGCATGTCAACTGGCAGTCTCTTATGATTACGATCAATTCTGATCGGCCTTAGTGTACCTTCATGTGGAGGATATTATTTATGTATATATTTTTAGATGGTTAATAAAATAGAGGACTTTTGGATAAAGCTTTGGATTTCCTGCATCCTGAGTTATCATTGGTAGATGGTGAGTGTCACTTTACTTTTTACAAATAATTTATGCAGACCTGACCTACTTACAGCAAGTTTTGGTATTTCCCCTTTTAACTGCTAAGGACAAATGACAATGTAAGTCATAACAACAGGTTTTAAAGATCTCTTTCCTAGCTTGTTAACTGTAAATCATGGGGGTTGAAATTCAAAAGCTGGAGTGCTGAAGAAAGCCTGCCCATGTTTTGCAGTAAGATAATCAAAAGTAGATTCACATCTGTTGTTGAACTACAAGTCGTATTCCTGCATCATCTGAGTATCTAACACTTTGCCACCCCTGTCTTACTGGTTTTAATTTTACTTAACATACACAAGAGGGGCATAAAAGCAGTGAAAAATGGAGATGTTTGGAGGCAGGAATGGGGTGTGATTTTATTAAAGGACACACTTTGTCATCTCTGTCCCAGACATCTGTCCCAGAAATGTACTTTATTGGATTCTGGGCCTTGAAGCTTCCCATGTACGTCTGGACAAGGCAATACTCGCTTTGATGTTCCTTATTTTGTTTCTTTGTAGTTGAGGAAGTGTGTCCTTTGAAGATGGACACACTTCCTCTCTTGTAACACAGACCTATTAATGTTCTGAAGAGGTGTGTCTTTCAGCTACTTTATTGTGTCCCAGGTGATTAGTTAGGTAGGTGAGTTACAAAACTTAACAAAATCTAGGTTGTAATCATTTTGCACGAATTGGCATTTTGTATCCAGATGCAGTGGAGTTTGGGGGATTTATCAACTGTCATGGATTTTCAATTTCTTTTGGACTTTGGACCTCAGCTTTTTAATCCTGGATTTTATTCTGATATCACATTCTTCTGGGACACTGGAGACATTTTAACGGAATTATAAAAAAAAAACAAAAAAAACCAGATGTTCTTGCTTGGCATGCGATATTCGACAGAGCTCTCTGTGTCTGTGGCTGGTTGCCTGGATGGCAACTTGTTGGTCTCCAATCAAATGCAGACAAACTCTAATGTTTGCTTAAGAAAACGTGTGCTACCTTTTTTTTTAATGAATTCTGATGGGCGTAAGTGTACCTTCATATGGAGAATATCATTTATATATATAATTTTTTTAGATGTTAACAAAACAGAGGGCACCATGTCTTTTATATATAGCTTGGGATTTCTTGCATGGTGAGTTATCATTGGTAGATGGTGAGTATCAATTTACCTTTAAAAATAATTGATGTTGTCCTATTACAGCATGCGTTGAGACCCAAATGGAAGCTTTTTCGGTAATCTGTGATGTGTATCCACAGAGTACTACTCCCTTTTAACCTGCCAAGGACAAACGACAATATGGACATAACAGATTTTTAAAGATCTTTTCCCAAAATGAACAAACCTATGTGATTAATACCAGATCGTTATAGCGGTTCCAATGGCAGCATGAATGTCATGCTGAAGTTTTAAAGAAACACGTCAAACACAAAGCGCATCAGCTTGTACAAGTGCTTTATGTGTGAAGTGTGTCTCATTTTTTAAATTTGATAAAAGTGCCAATTTCATTAGAAATCTTCCCTTTTATCATTAAATCTTTTTATAACTTCCCAGTTGTCAGTGAGACAGCCAGGAGAGGTGTTTCTTCCTGCTAGTCTAGCTCACTGGAGTTAAACTCAAGAGATGTTTGCCAACATTACTTGCCTTTAAAACAATACGGTTAATTGAGAAAGTTGTTATTCATGTGACTGATCCATAAGGCTTCCCAATGTGAAGTTTTTGTGGAGTCTGAATGCCCCCTCCCTCCCAGTAAGGTAACAATTGGAGGGGGTATAAAGGTGCTTTTAAAATTATTATGATTTGTTTATAAAATGATTAAAGGGACATTATAGTCATCAGAGCAACTACAGCTTAATGTAGTGGTTCTGGTATGTATATTCTGTCCCTGCAGGTATTTTAATGTAAACACTGACTTTTCTGAAAAAAGGCAGTGTTTACATTGTTGTTTAGGAACACATCTAGTGGCAGTCATTCAGATGGCCACTAGAGGTGCTTCCTGGTGCAGTGCACTGATGTTCAGCGTCTCCAAGCTCTGCTTGGAGCTGCTAAACATTCCTAATAGAGATGCACTGATTTAAGGCATTTCTATGAGAAAATGGTGATTGGTGCAGCACGGCGGGGCCAGCCATGGCAAACCCAATTTTTGTCCCAGTCCGGTCCTTCCTCTGTTTATCATCATTATGTATTATATTTGTAGAGCATAGCGTGCGTATGCTAAGAAATATCCTTAGTGATCAGTATGTTCCTGTATGCCATGCTTCCTACAGTCATCAAACCACATGTGTTAGTTAATTTATTTTATACCCTTTATACTCGAGGTTACAAGCCTTCAGAGACGAAATCGAAAGGTCAAAACAGAAAACAAACAAAAAAAGAGAGGAGGCAGAAGTTTCATAAGTTGACATTATATTACTATTTTGTATGACACGTAGAGTGGTTTTCAGATCCTCCTTAGCAGGTCACATAGATTAGTGTTAGCCGTTTCACATCCCAGCCATAATTTTACAACTCAACTATATCCAATTCAGCTATTCATTTCTTTATTTTACTATTATCTTTTAAATTCCCGATTTTTAAAATTTGATAGTTTTGTAAAATACTCTTATAGATTGTAAATATTTAAATGGACACTCTCGGCACCAGAACCACAACAGCTTAATATAGTGTTCCTGGGTTATACAGACTTTCAATGCTGCCTCAGCAGTGTAAATACTGCCTTTTCCCGAGAAATGACAATATGTACACTGCTGCCTAACACCACCTCTAGTGGCTGTTACTCATTGTGCACAAAATAATTACGCCAAACGCTGATAATCAATCTGCCATCGCAAAAGCTAGTGAGATGCTTTTGTGTATAAAAAGGAGTATTGAATCACATGATCCAAATATAATTTTGCCTCTTTACAAATCATAGATAAGACCTCACTTTGAATAAGTGGTGCAATTTTGGGCACCAGTTTTAAAGAATTATATTTCAGAACAAGAAAAAGTGCAGAGGCAGGCTGCAAAACTAGTAAGGAGAATGGAAAAATTAGGTATCCAGGGGAATAGAGCGAGTAAACTACTGGCAGCAAGGTTAAAAAAGCGACAACAGTCACAGAAAATAGAGTACCTACACACGAAAACAGGGGGGAAAGCTATGTCGCCGCTCACTATTAGCGATGAGTTCGCACAATACTATGGGGACCTGTACAATCTCAGCAATGATGCAACCATACCCACACCGACAACGGCCGAGATAGAAACGTACCTAAACAAAATCAACCTCCCGACTTTGACAGCCCAACAGAAAGACACACTTACCCGACCAGTCACCCCTGAGGAGGTAGGGGACACCATAAAGTCGCTACCAAGGGGCAAAGCCCCGGGCCCTGATGGATTTGCCAACTCTTACTATAGCAAATTTAGAGATATACTGGCCCCATGCCTAGCAGAAGTTTTCAATGAGGCCGTGCGAACACAAACCCTACCGGAGGAAATGCAGCTCGCCCACATCATCACTTTGCCCAAGCCTGGCAAACCCCCAACTTACCCACAAAATTTTAGACCCATCTCCCTCCTTAACACTGACACTAAACTACTGGCGAAACTGTTCGCTATGAGGCTAAGCCCGATATTACCACACATCATACACGATGACCAAGTGGGATTTGTGACGGGGCGCCAGGGGGCAGATAACACCAGAAAAGTCCTCGACCTCATGCAAAGCCTAGGGGCGAAACGGGAAGGGGGGGTTCTGCTCTCACTGGACGCAGAAAAAGCCTTTGACCGACTGGGGTGGGGATTTCTGCAGGCGGCTCTGAGGAGGTACGGGATGCCGGAGGGGTTTATTTCAGTGGTCAGGGCATTGTATTCGGCACCAAGGGCCCAAGTACTTAATTCGGGTTTTGTGTCAAAAAAGATAACCATTACCAATGGAACAAGACAGGGGTGCCCCCTGTCCCCCCTGCTATATGTACTGGCACTGGAGCCGCTGGCTGCAATGATCAGAGCCCACCCTGATATACATGGGGTCCAAGTGGGGGACAGGGAGTACACCCTTAATCTATTCGCAGACGACATACTCCTGACGTTGACGCAACCAATAATATCCCTACCGAATTTACTACAGTGCATACGAGAATATAACAAAGTATCCTACTACAAATTAAACCTCACAAAAACACAAGCAATGGGAATCCATATGCCAGAACATACTTTACAAACACTGACGAACTCATTCACCTTTGACTGGAGGGAAGACTATATCACATTCCTGGGGATTAAGCTAGCCAAGACGAGCGGCCAAAGTTTAAATATAATTATGAGAAACTTCTGCAGGAAATCTCTCAGACGTTAGACCAATGGAACAGTGACTTCCACTCGTGGCATGGGCGCATAGCGGCATTTAAAATGTCACTGTTGCCAAAATTACAATACCTATTCCGCACGCTGCAAATCCCTATACCTAGGCAATATATGGTCAAACTACAAAAAACCATCACGAGATTCGTGTGGGCGAACAAAACACCCAGAGTGGCTTACTCTACAATAAAAAGAACAACGGAGAGGGGGGGTATGAGCTTCCCAGACGTCAAACTGTACTACAAGGCGGCCATTCTAGCCGCGCTAGCCATGACACACAGGGCAGCTAACCCACCACAATGGGTAGCCATTGAATCCCACTGGACGTGTAGAGCAGGGATGCACCACTTGTTTTGGGTGCCAAAACACCTAAGGCCAACAACACCGACCATGCTAGAGACCACCAAACTAATGCTGCATACATGGGACACATACAGAACGCACCTTAGTGGCTCAGGAACCACATCGCTAGCATCGACAATGTATAGTATCTACCTGAGGAACAAAACATTTGACTACCGGACTTGGGCGAATGCAGGGTGTACACACATACACGACTTATACAAGGGTACTTCCCTAAAACAGTTCCCGGACCTACAAACACAGCACAACCTACCGAGTAAAGCAATTTTCTCATACTTGCAGCTCAAGTCCACCCTACAGCAACCCAAGACTCCACCTATGACACCCATGATCTCAAACTTTGACACATGGTGCCTCACGGGCAAGCCACACAGACGAGGCATTTCAAAAATATATAACACATTGCTTGAGGGCACTCACGCATCCACAGGCAACTTTATACAGGCATGGCACAAAGACCTTGGCAGCACCTTCACGGAGGCCCAATGGTCCAGAGCCTTCACAATTCACAAGGGCAACACAGTCTGCATTACACACTTTGAACAAGTGAGAAAACTGCAATACAGGTGGTATTTGGTCCCCACACGGCTAGCACACATGTTCCCGAATATGTCTACCCAGTGCTGGAGATGCCAGCTAGACACAGGCTCACTAATACATATTTGGTGGACGTGTAAAGACGTGCAACCTTACTGGGCCATGGTGAGCACCATCGTGGACCAACTGCTTCCTGCAAAGCTGACCCTGACCCCGGCTACATGCCTCTTATACATATGGCCAGAAGGCCTGACCAAAGTCCACTCCAAACTCCTATTCCACACGCTGATAGCAGCATGTAACCTAATAGCAAAAAACTGGAAATCACGGAACATCCCCACAAAAACTGAGCTAGATACCCAGATCCAAAAGAATTGGGAATACGAACGCATGGCGGCCCAACAATTGGGGACGGGAGTAGCAACTATGGAGGCGGGGAAAATCTGGGAACAATATTGGAACAAGGTGAAGTCCCAAACAACTGGGGATGAGTAAGATCCTTTAGCCTCACCAACGCAATCTGAGAGGGTATACCCTGGGAAACAGTGGGAAGAGGCCGATGATGAGAGACCAAACAGGTACAGCAAAACCCTTCTCAAAAGAAACCAGGTAGATGTAACACATACAGACGAGACAAACAACCCACTATGTATATATTTAAGTTAACTCCCCCCATACCCCTCCGGGTGTGCACCTGGACCCCCCACCCTCCACCCACCTCCTTCTTGTCCAACTCATTGACATAGGCCACACGGTACAAAGGTACGACAACGAGCGCAGGACAGGCTGGTAAACATGTGGACACCTCCGGGCTGAGGTGCATAGATAGCGCCCCGCCGACACTGTTTAAACTATCTAAACTACGGCTGTACTAAGTAAAGAGGGATATAATGACCGTTGGAAATATACACGGTACCAACTAATCCCACCCCACCATACCCCACATTTGTCGTCTGTGATTCCCATCCCCACCTCTGAAACACTAATGGTATACCAGGTAACCTCAGCCAGACCAGCATCTGGAGATACATGTTAAAGAGCCAAAACAATAAGCTGGTTATACAGAAATGCCGGACAAGGTTGTAGTCATGATTATAAATACTAATAACCTGTGTAATGTATAATGTGAAAATGTTGTATAAAGTATAATGTCATGAGTGGAACCCTTGTTATTCCACCCTGCCTCATTCTTCCCCCCCCCCTCATTATTTTTTGTATCCCTTCCCCCCCCCTTTTCTATATGGAAAATAAAAATTGTCAAATTGAAAAAAAAAAAAGAAAAATTAGGTATGAGGAAAGGTTAGAAAAACTGGAATTGTTTTCCTTAGAGAAAGAGTACATTAGAGGGGATATGATAGCATTATACAAATATATCCAGGGTCAGTACAAACCTGTTCATTAGCAGGAATACAGACACTCCTCACTTAATGACAGAGTTTCGTTCCTAAGACTAGGTCGTTAAGCGAATTGGTCGATAAACGAGGATTCCCGTGACCATGGCATAATTCGCTGAAATGAAATTTGCATTCGCATTTCTACTCGTCAATGATGCAAGGTACAGGTATACATAAACCAGATTTCGCATCCCTTTCATGTAGGGACTCAGATTTGGGGGATTCCCTGCGAAGGAGAGAAATCTTCTGACTCTGAGTCTTGGGAATTCCCGGTGTATGCCCATAGTATGTCGGAGTGGTTGTTAAACCCTTCAGGACCGGCCTGTTTTTGCGATGTTGTACGTTAAGGACCAGGGCTCTTTTAACACTTTTGTGGTGTTTGTGTTTAACCTTAATTTTCCTCTCTCTCATTTACTGTTCCCATACAAGTTATATATTGGGTTTTTTTCAGGACAAAAAGGGCTTTCTTTACATACCATTATTGTATCATGTCACATAATTTACTTTAAAAAAAATAATAAAATATGGTGAAAAATTGAAAAAAAAACATGTCCTGAGTTTAAAAACACCCAGTGTTTACATGCTTTTTTTTGTGTGCAAGTTATAGGGCTATAAGTACAAATAGGAAATTGCTGTTTCAAAATATATATTTTTAAAATGTATCAATAGTGACATTGTAACACTATTATCTTTTATAAATTTCTGAATCACACCCCACATGAACATATTTTTTTTAAAGTAGACAACCCAGGGTATTAAATATGGGGTATGTCCAGTCTTTTTTAGTAGCCACTTAGTCACAAACACTGGCCAAAGTTAGCGTTCATATTTGTTTATGTGTGAAAAAAGCAAAAAAACTAAATGAAACGCTAATTTTTAAATTTATTTCATTTACTTATTAAACTAAATTGAATGCAAATTTTTAAATTTACTTATTATTTGTATTTTATAATATATATATATATATATACACACACAATATATATACAATATATATATAGTTATTATATATATTATATATGTGTGTAATTTAATTATAAGTGTATTTTTATATTAATATATGTGTATATTAATATAAAAATACACTTAGTATGACATTATATATATGATATATAGACATATAAATTTTTATTTATTTTTATTAACATTAAAAAATTTTTTTTTTTTTTACACTTGCACGGAGACTGCCTGTCAGCACAGACAGTCCCCCTGCAGGCAGACACTAGGACACCTATTGTGGCCATGTGACTGCTCTGTTGAGCGATCACATGGCCCCCGGAGTCCTAATTCGCTGCGGGGAGACTGCCTGGGCTGCAGGCAGTCTCCCCACACCAGGAGCACCGCCGATTGCCGCCGGGGGAACGATGGCGATCGGGTAAGTACATTTTACCGCTGTGACGGTTCAGGGCCATCAGCGGTCCTCAACAGTAAAACACCGATGACGGTCCTGAACCGTCACCGGTCGCGAAGGGGTTAAGCAGATATGTCGTTAAGTGAGGAGTACCTGTATACAACAGACAAGAGGCCACCCATCGAGAATAGAAGAAAGGCAATTTTGCGTACAGCACAGGAAAGAGTTCTTTACAGTTAGAAAGATAAAGATGTGGAATTCTCTGCCTAAAGAGGTTGTGTTACCAGATGCTATAGAATTTTTTTTTTTTTAAAGGTGTGGATGCTTTTTTGCATAAACAGAATATTCAAGGATATAATTAATATGAATGCAAACAGGTTGTTAATCCAAGGAGAAATATGATTGCCATCATGGAGTCAGTAATTCATTTTTACCCCTATATGTGGTATAATGGAAATGTCTACAATAGGGTTTTTAACCTTCTTTTGAATCAACAGCATACAAGCATAGGCTTCATGGTTGAACTCTTTTTTCAACCGGACCAACTATGTAACTGGCTCAGTGCAGCGATTACTGGGCATGCACCATAAGGCCCCAACGTTTCCCTAGGAGAAGTGTTGAATCATCGCTGATAAATGACAGCAGGTGGAGCGACTGCCACAACAAGATCCAGACTGCAAGGAATTAAAAGTAATTTATTAATTTTTTAAAATTGTTAAGGGGGGAGGTAGGGTCACAGAATCTAATAGTTTAAAAGGAGCATTCTAACATTAATGCTAATATTTATTCATAAATAGCGTCCCTTTAATCATTACTAGTTGTATTTAAATCCTTTTATCATTTTCCACATGTTACACCTACGTATGAAAATAGGACCTTTTTTTTTACACATTTTATGTAAATTATGGTAAGTTTAAACACAGAATAGCAGGGCTCTGTGTCATGTTTTTAAGAGTGCTCTGCAGAAGACAAGGTTTTTTTGTAGACAACCTTGAACCATATTTTGCATGGTATTCAGAGATTCCTGTGACGGTTAGCTAGCTACGCATCACATGAACTCCAGAAACAGACATAAACTATGGCACCCAACATTTCAGATTATCTGAATGTACTGTTACAGCGTCCTTATTTAATTGTGTATCACCTGTTTACCTACAATACATGAACATAGCTTGAGGGTGTGTCTATTAAAAATTCTCAAGAAACCTAGTAACAACGTACGTTCATACTCCACCAGAACCAGAACATATCAGTCGTAGCTGGAGGACTTAGCTACCTGTTGCCTCTACATTAATCACATCATCTGCGGTGCTGCCTATACCTTTTTGAGCTCCAGTCGGACAGCATGCACAGCATAAATGGGAATAAAAATTGCCCCTGGCGTCGAGAGCCAGAAATTGTACAAGGGTTCATTCTCGACCTATTATTCTCTATTAGCTCTTGTACAAAGCTCTTTTTACAAGTATAGTTACATTAGGGAAGAGAGGGCAGACAGACCCCAAACAATGGCCGGGGAGCAGTGATACTGTAGACCCTCAGATCAGGTGTCCTCCTAGGCAGGTAGAGTCTCAGGTATTCAGCGTTCCTTTCTGTGACAAGCTTTTTACATGTTTGATAGCTCTCGGATAGTTTTAGGTCCCGAGAGAGACGTGTTGTGTCTCCGATTGTAAGGGAACTCTGTGGGAATAAAACTTTCAGCCTTTGTTGGACTTGTCACAATAGCAAGAAACAAAATTATCCCTGAACCTGCCAAATGGCAGCTTATTTTGCTTATCTCTGGTCTTTTTTTGTGTCTCTACTTCTTTCTTTATCGCAGACCTTTTTTCTCTCGCTGTGTTTCTGCACTTAAATGTCTGAAATTTATTTAAATGCACATAGACCCCTGCCTGCCAAATAGCCACGAATGCCAGC